CTCTCTCCCCCCCTCTATCTCTCTCTATCTCTCTCTATATCTCTATCTCGAGCCACCCGTCCGGACGGGCGGCCAAGTTAATTTATGTCCGTAGTTGATTGAGCGAGGAACGTCCCGACTAACTGAAAATGTAAAGGTCACTCTCGCCTAGCGATCTACATGCCAAAACATGTCGTAATGTGAAAGTAAACGATAAAAAAACAGTTTACACACAATATTTTTGTCGTACTTTTCAATACGCAGAAATGTAATGGTAATCCCAAATCTGCTGCCAATACAACAAGAACGCGTCAAAAATTGTAACCAGTCCGATCTGATTTTTGAAGGTTGGCATCATTTACTTTCGGTGGGAGGAAATTTCAGGATTGCTAAAGAGTTAGTTTTACGGTGTGTTTGCGAACCTTGAACCCAAGAGGCAGCAGGGGGTAACTTTTTCTCTGGTAGAGCTGCGGAGAAGAAGCGGGTTATGGATAACGTATATTTACAGATCACCAGTTGGTGGTTGTTTTTTTTAGGGGGTGAGATTGGAGGGGATCCATCACAGGAAGGCCACACAGCACATAGAAGCGGAGTTTGAACTAGAATGGAGGACGGTGAATGGCGAAATGGAAAGGGAGGTTGGGTGTTGAGGGGGAGGGGGTAAGGGTCGGGCTGGGGGTTAGGCGTCGGGGGGCGGACGTTGCAGTCTTCGCCCTGTCAGTTTGGGCAGATTCATCTCCATCTGAGTTAATGCTCGGGATGGCAAAAGGGGGGAGGGGGAGCGAGAGCGAGCGAGAGACAGTGAGCAGGGAGCGAGTGAGCGGCGAGAAGTGTTGTGGCCAGTCAGTCATGTTCCGTCCAAACAGACTCCAGGAACGTATGCAGCACTCCCTAGTACAGTGGCCGCTGCAAGTCGAACTGAAAACGCCATGATGTTATGCAACGTCTAAAAACTGACAACTGACCATTGACAACTTGAGCTGATACTTTTGCCAACGGGTAGAAGACAGCCACTGCGGGTATTGTCTAAATATGCGCGTATCTCGAACGTAACTCAATTTTGAAATCAACATAGCGTAGTCTACCTGGCCAATAATACATATTTGTACCCCCGCCGCTTGACGGTCACGCTGCATGTGTGCGGTCCCTAAGGATCAGCAACCAACGCGTCGCCGTTCCAAAAGTTTGAAGCAATTAAAAACGCGTCTCTTGTACCGTTCACCCCCGCCCACGATTGATTTCCCAGGGTGATCCTCCGGTCGTGTTGGCCGAGCTCGTGCGTCGTTGGCCGGGGGTGGTCTCGTATCGACTAATTAGTAATTAGTGGTGGGCGAGGTAAAGCCGCGTGTGTAGGTAGGTGTGTGTGTGTGTGGGGGGGGGGGTGTTTTTTCGTACTCCCCCAATCTCCCGCGTTTCCGTTTCCGTGGCCTGTTGTGGGTGGACGCTGGGGGGCTGGTCCGATGCGTTCATTATACAGACCCGTAAGAGGATCTCCTCTAGAGACACCAAAAAGGAAGAAAAATAATGATGATAACATATTTTCCTCTCTGCCGAGGAAGTGAACAACTCAGCGACGAGGTGTTCTGTGTGTGTGTGTGTGTGTGT